TTTCACACTTTACCACCATTCTGGCATCCCTGTTGTCATGGGATTGAAATTCAGATGCTTGGCAACTGACTCCTAGGTCAGGATTCCAGCAATTGCCCTAATTAAATCGCGATCCTCGAGCCCAACTTCAAAAAAACTTCCAAGGATTCATTAGAGGCCACACGCTGGCCCTGTCCTGGATGAAGCCAACTCTGGCCTACGTCATTTACACTCCCCTATGACCCTGTTTCCCCTCTCCCGCCTGGGTGTGTCATAAATCAGATTCTCCAATTGAGCACGTTCCCAGGCTGGGTGTCATCAATCACATTCTCCAATCAAATATATTCACGGGCCAAAACTCTGGTATTTTAGTTATAATCTTTTAAAGAGAAGAGTTGGAATGTACTTTCGCTTTGCTGCATTGCTCTTCCAGATTTCCTTCCGCCCCCCCACCCCCACCCACTTCCGCCCCCCCACCCCCACCCACAAGCACAGGTATGTTTTATGAGTTGACATTCGGCTCCCCTCACTTCTTGAAGGGGACCTGTATGTGGTCGCAGCGTCCCAAGGGGGGGTCATGTGATCTCCTTTGGTGACCTTCTGACAAGCCAAATCAATGGGGGAGGAAGCCAGATTCACTTAACAACCGGTTTGCTAACTTAACATCAGCGATTCGCTGAACAACGGTGGCAAGAAAGGTCGTAAAGCAGAGCACTTAATTCACTTCACCCTTAGCAATATAAATTTGGGGCTCAATGATGGTCGTAAGCCAAGAACTCCCTGTAGTTCTGGAAGAGGGTTTCAGCTGCTTACTATATATATACTATTTTCTACTTTGTGGCAGGTTAAGTCAGACATAGGTTTCTATTACGTGACTGTCCCCTGCTTCAGGATATCTGCAGAAAATATATATGAGGAATTAACTTATGAACTTCCTAATGGGGATCCATTCTAGAAGCAAGGAGAAATTTCCTGATAGTGAGAACAATTCATCGGTAGAACAGAAGTGGATGCTTCCTCACTGGAGGTCTTTAAGAAGAGACTGGACAGTCACTTGACTTGGACGGTATATGGGGCAGTGGTGGCTAACTTTTGGGGGGCTCCTGTGCCAAAAACTGTGCACCCGCTCGCGTATCAACACCCAGAAGGCAATGCCCCCCCCCCCGGCTGTCCCCTCACCTGTACTGTGCCTCCCAGCTGAATTTTGGCCCGTTTGAGGCCTTTTTTAGCCTTCAGGAAAGTCTTTGCAGGATGAAAAATTAGCCTGTTTCATCACTTCCGGAAATACATGAAGTGACAAAACAGGCCCATTTTTCGGCCTGTAAAGGCTTTCCTCAAGCCTCTGGGAGGCCGAAAATCAGCCGGGAGGCGCGCACATGCGCAGTGAGGTCAGGTTGCCTGCGGCTCGCATGCCAGCACAAATGGCTCTGCATGCCACCTGTGGCACACGTGCCATAGGTTCGCCATCACAGGTATGGGATCTCCTGCCTTGAGCAGAGGGGTTGGACTAGAAGATCTCTGATGCCCCTTCCAGCCCTAGGATTCTAGGATTGTATGTATCATTGGTTTCCAATTAATAGATTACAGGTGTTCCTCAATCTACAATAGTTCAGTCAGTGACCGTTCAAAGTTATAATGGCACTAAAAAAAAAAAGGTGACTTACAACCGTTTTTCACACTTACGACCGTTGCAGCAACTCCATGGCCACGGGATCAAAATTCAACAACTGGTTCATATTTACGACAGTTGCTGTGTCCTGGGCTCACATGATTCCCTTTAGCGACCTTCGGACAAGCAAAGCCAATGGGGAAGGCAGGCTCACTTAACGACCATGTAACTGACTTAACAATTGCAGTGATACACTTAACGACTGAGTTCCTAACTTAATAACTGCAAGAAAGGTCGTAAAACGGGGCAAAATTGGCTCAACCATGGTCTCACTTAGCAACAGAAATGTGAGGCCGAATTGTGGTTGTAAGTAGAGGACCGCCTGTACTTAATGCTTAACGAACCGAATGAGTCCAGATGAATCAGAGACCAAATCTTGGAAGAAATTTATTCAATAATGAAATAAGAATACGCGATGAAATGGCAAATACGACAGATAAAAGCATAAGAATCTAGTGAATATAGAATAAGAAATAAAGAATTTTAAGATATGATATAAAGAAGAGGATCATTAAAGAAAAGTAGGACATGAATTAAATATTAGAATATGAATTAAAATTGGACAAAATAAAAGTAAAAAAAATATAAAAATATTTTTCAAAATCTACAGAAAATGGAAAATGCAATGATAAGAAATGGAATGTGTGAGATAGATATGTAATTATGGTCATATTTGTAGGGAAATGTAAAAACCTGGAAACAGGTTCACTAAAAGCGATGTAAAAGATTAAAAATAAAAAACTTTTTTGGGAAGAAAAAAAAAAGAAATGAACTCCTGGATGTGACAATTCTCTGGAAAAACTAAAAAGAGCACTGTGGCCCAGAAACTGCCCCCAGTGACATATGTCTTCTCACAATTTGTGACAGCTTTTTGTCTCGGCTACCTTTTCACACACGGAATAAATGGGGAGAGAAACTTCAGGGGCTCCTGAAAATGCCGCATTGCACCAGTTTTGACGTAAGGTCTCGTGCTTGGGCAGGGGGTTGGACTAGATGACCTACAAGGTCCCTTCCAACGCTGTTAATCTGTTAAAGGGAGATGAGAAACTATGAAAAATTAGGGTTTATACAGGAGACTCACCCAAAAAAAAAAAAAAAGCCAGAAAGCAGACACACACACACACACCCCAAAAATAAAGATTTATCTGACTTTAATGGGTACAACATACCTATTGTATCCCAATGCCACTGGACAGCAAAAGAATTGAAAATGGCAACACGGGCTGTGAAAAGGCTGCCCCCTCAATGTGCGTGTGCCCGGCCTAATTCTCGGAGATACATAAAACAAAAGGATTGTTGTTTGTCCCCACAAAGAAATTGTTGCCTTGCTTCCTTGGGGGAAGTCACTAAAATATGAGTAAACTGTAATTATGTCTCTGTTCCATCCTTTTTTCTTTCTTTCTTTCTTTCTGACAGCCTAGTTGGTTGAGTTTGTTTTAATCTCCTCAAAGGTTACCAAGGGAGGAGCCCCACAGACAGGGAGCACCCCTGGGCTCCGGCCTAAGAGGGAGACATCTCTTTCTTTCTTTCTTTCTTTCTTTCTTTCTTTCTTTCTTTCTTTCTTTCTTTCTTTCTTTCTTTCTTTTTCTTTCTTTCTTTCTTTCTTTCTTTCTCTCTCTCTCTCTCTCTCTCTCTCTCTCTCTCTCTCTCTCTCTCTCTCTTTCTTTCTTTCTTTCTTTCTGTGTGTGTTTTCTTAAATTTTGTTCGGGTATTTTCCCACGTCATTGTAGTTGTGCTTTTAAAGTTGTAGCGACGTTTCGGCAGAATCTCATCTGCCATCATCTGGCTTCTGTATAGTGTGCGTCTGGTGATGATGGCAGATGAGATTCTGCCGAAACGTTGCTACAACTTTAAAAGCACAACTACAATGACGTGGGAAAATACCTGAACAAAGCTGAATACCATACATGTAAGTACCTGCGAAAACTTAAGAAAACATATATATATAATAAAGTCTGACTCACAGACAAACCCAATAGAGGAGCCTGATGATGGCAGATGAGATTCTGCCAAAACGTTGCTACAACTTTAAAAGCACAACAATGACGTGGGAAAATACCCGAACAAAGCTGAATACCATAAATATATATACATATATATTTATAAAGAGAGAGGGGAGAGAGAGGGGAGAGAGAGAGAGAGAGAGAGAGAAACTATGTGCTTGGGCTACCAGCATCCATGGGTATTCATCTGGCAAAGCCCCTTCAAACATAGCCACTAGCACTGATGATGTTACCTAGTTGGGTCATGAGACGGCTGCAAGAGAATCCCCAAGCTCAGAGAGCCCCAAGGACCCCACAGTCCTCCTCCTCCATCATCTCCTCCTCCTCCTCCTCCTCCTGCCCAGCACCAGGTTTGAATTGGTGCCAATGCTCACCTGGCATGGGAGGTAAAAAAAAGAAAACCTTCCAGGGACCCTAGGAAACATCTGCTGGATCTAGAAGAAGAACGCAGCAACGTTTGTAGAAGGTGGGCCTAGAAGGATAACACACTCAACCTTCCAAATATCAATTAAAAAATCTCTCTTTATGACCCGTAATCCCTTAACTGGGGGTAGAGTCAAGGCTGGATGGATCTGAACATTTACTGGCCAGATGCCCTTCCTGACACCGCACCGAGTTCACAGCAGATGTCAACAAAGGAGAATACAAGACAAATTCCTTGGGTGTCCAATCACACTTGGCCAATGAAGACTTCTATTCTATTCTATTCCATTCTATTCCTTATTCTATTCCATTCTATTCCATTCCATTCCACTCCACTCCATTCCATTCTATTCTACTCCATTCCTTATTCTATTCTATTCTATTCTATTCTATTCTATTCTATTCCTATTCCTATTCCATTCCATTCCATTCCATTCCATTCTATTTCTAATTTCTATTCCATTCCATCCCATCCCATCCCATCCCATCCCATTCTATTCCTTATTCTATTCCATTCCATTCCATTCTATTCTATTCCTTATTCTATTCCATTCTACAGGAAGTCCTCAACTTACAACAGTTTATTTACCGACTGTTCAAAGTTACGATGGCACTGAAAACAAGTGACTTGTGATAGGGGTTTTTGTACAGTTACAACCTTTGTAGCAACTCCACGATCACCTGATCAGAGTTCAGACGCTGGGCATTATGACCGTCGCTGGGTCCCAAGGTCGCACGGCCACGTTTTACAACTTTTGGGAAGCCAGATTCATTTAACAACCGGGTTACTAACTTTATTCACGGCAGTGATTCACTTAACAAGGGTGGCAAGAAAGGTCGTAAAAACGGAGCAGAACTCCCCGAACGAACGCCCCCCTTAACATCAGAAGTCCCGGGCTCCGTTGTGGCGCTAAGTGGAGGAGGACTGGCTCCATTTCTTCCGTCCAAGCGTCTCCACCAGGCCCAAAGGCAACTGATCCGACCAGGGGAAGGTGCACAACTCCGGGGAAACTCTTGGAGCAAACCCGCCTCAACTCCACCCCCCGTGGAAGAAGATGTCCTCCCCCCACCTTACCTTCCTCCACATCGTTGCGGCTGGCAGCCTCCAAAAGCTGGACGTTTTCCGGAAAGGCCACCTTCCTCTCCTGGGCGGCCCTGCGCCTCTTCTTCTCCCCTTTCGCCCTCTTGCCCTGCGCGTCCTTCTCAAACTGCGCCCACTTCTTCAGCTGCTGGGCGCGGCGCTTCTGGGCGTGCTTGAGCCGCTCCTGGGTGCCCATCCGGGCGACCGCCGACATCTCAGCCAGCAGCTCCGGGTGGTCGGCCATGCTCGGCCAAAGGCAGGGGCTCACCTGAGACTCGCGGGGAAAAGCATTTGGAAGGGATGGGTTTGCGGGGCCGGGACAGGTGAGGCGAGGGGGCCAAAAGAGCCGCTCTCTCTCTCTCTCTCTCTCTCTCTCTCTGCCCCCAAGGGCAACGCTTCAGAGGAGTCTTGCCAGAGGACGGAGGCAACCGGGCGGGTCAAAGTGCATCTTCCACAAATTTGGGAGACCGCTGGTCCTTAACCGCTCCAGGCAGCCTCTCCGCAGGTGGTGCCAACCCTAAGAAAGTCAACGGCGCCTTCCTGGCCTTCCTCATCCAGGCAGGGCCTGTGAAAATGGGTCCCCGGGAAAAGAAGGCTTGGCGAAGCACTCGGGCTGCCCACCCTAAGGCAGGGTGAGGGGCTCCAGCTGACGTAGGCAGGGCGGCTGCTCAGCCCTCCTCCTCCTCCTCCTCCTCCACGCTCAAAGGACCCCCAAAGGCAACTCCCCGCTGGGAAAGACAGCACAGCATCAATCCTTCATTCGTCGGTGTCGAGAGTTGAATCCTCGCCCCCCCCCCCCCCCCCCCCCCCCAGCAGCAACTTCCGGAGTCCGCTCGTTCCCAGGGAGCTGAATTCCCAGGTGTCCCCGCGGAGGGAGGGGTCTCCCGATTCTCACGGCGGTCTCGGTCTCTTTGCAACCCTCCTCCGGTGCCTCCTCCGCTGTCCCTAAAAGAGGACTTCCGATCCCTCTGAAGTGCCGTCAGGTTCCCGAGACCGGCCCTGAGCTCCGGCTGCCGGACAGGAGCCCACGGCAGGACCCGGTCAGGGCTGCATCGTCTTCTTCCAAGCGGAGCCCACCGTTCTCAGCCTTCCTCCGTCCCGGACCCGGCAGCTGCTTGGCAACCAAAGTCCTTGACGGAGCGATTTCGCTCTCCTTCTTCCCCCCACACCACCTCTCCCGCAAGGCACAGGCTCTCCTCCGAAGGAACCAGTGGATGTGTAAATAAAATGAAAGCTTCCGGCAACCTTCCTCGGAGCCCTGGGTTGCTTTCAAGGGGTCTCTTTCACTCCAGCTGCTCCGGAGCACCGTAGGAGGAACTGGTCGATGGCCAACTGGCTGGCTGGCTGGCTAGGAGGCTGGGGTAAGCCCCGCTGGCTGGAGACTCCTCCCTTTGCTACTGGGGCCCTGGGCTGAGCTTTCTGCCGTTGTCTCCGGCCAAGGGCTGCCTGGAAAGTCCTGCAGCAGAAGAGGAAGAAGGAAGCCTATCAGACAGGGCTTAACAGGCGGCTACACACCCAGAAACACCTAAGCCCCCTCTGGGCCAGACCCACCGCAGGCTCTCTCGCCCTGCCTTCCTCCAATGACTTGGAGGTAACCGAAAGCAGATCAGGTTACGGAAAGGGGGAGGAGGGGGGCTCTCTTCAGCCCTGGCTCTCCTCCTGTTCAGCCACGGGGACCCCCTTCCCTCTCTCCCTCCCGTTTCCCAACAGTCTGCCTCCTTCCTACCGAATCCCCCTGGGAGGGACCGGCCTGGGGCGGGTGGGACCCTTGCCTTGGGGCAAACGGGGGGAGCTGGGCGAGAGAGACAGATTAAGGGCTTAGCGGGGAAACTGTCAACGATTTAAGTGCCCGAGATTTAAGTCCCTGAGGATACACAGCCGATTGGCCCAGAGAAATAGCAGGACAACGGAATAACAGAGCTGGGAGGGGCCTCGGAGGTCTTCTAGTCCAACCCCCTGCTTGAGCAGCAAACTCTACTACACCCTCCCAGACAAGGAGGGGCTGTCCAGTCTCTTCTGAAAAAAACTTCCAGTGATGGAGCCCCCACGATTTCTGGAGGCAACCTCTGTCCCACCGATTAATTGTCCTCACCGTTATGACGTTTCTCCTTAATTCTAAATAGCTTCTCTCCTTGCGGAGTTTCCATCCCCTGGTTCTTCCCCTGCCCTCTGGTGCTTCGGGGGGGTTGACCTCCTCGTCTTCAGAGAAACCCCTGAGATACTGGAAGACGGATATCCTGTGTCCCCCCCAGTCCTTCGTTTCATTAAACCAGACGTACCCAACTCCAACAACTGTTCCTCAGATGGTTTAGCCTACAGAGTTGGCTCAGGAATTCTGGGAGTGGAGGTTATAAAGTCGCCGTAATTGTCCACCCCTGACCCAAACCAAAACTTTTCTGGACCAATTCAGAAGAATCTCGGCATTCCCAAACCTTCCCGCTGGTCAAACTCCCTCTGAATTTGGGTTCCTTCAGCAAATTTCCCTCCGGAAAGGATGCTTTTCATCCAAGCCACCGCTTGGGTCCCAGCCCGCTCCATACCCCGGCACACCAATTTCCTGCCAAAAGGCACCCAACCAAGCAAGACTCTTTCCCAGAGAAAGCAGCACCCAGAAAAGCTGCTTTAAAAAACTGGACAAAAGGCCCAGAGCAATTTCGGTCCCTACTAAACGGGCCAGGGAAACACACGGTTCGCCTCTGCACTGCAGGTTCTGGAAGGACAACTTTGCAACGATCACAAATCCTGCTAAAGCCTTTCCAAGTCGAATGCTGACCTCAACGGCAGAGCAATAGATTTCATCGGGGGAGGGGGGGGGAATACAGGTAGTCCTTGACCTACGACCGCAAGGAGCCCCGTATTTATCTTACTAAGCAAAACGTACGTTAAGGGAGCTTTGCGCCCTTTTCCCACCTCTCTTGCCACCGTTGTTAAGCGAACCTGGCTCCCCCGTTGACTTCGCTTGTCTCAAAAGAGGATCACGTGACACATACCCCAGGACACTCTGGCCGTCGTAAATACGAGTCAGTTGCCAAATGTTGATCACGTGATGCTGCAACGGTCGTAAGTGTGGAAAGAAAAGGTCATAGGGTCCTTTTTTTTCAGTGCTGTTGTTATTGTGCCCCTTTTTTTTTTCCCCCAAAGAGACAACTGGAATTTCTGGGTTTTCCTTTTGAAGAGGTTTCGCTTCTCCTCCAAGAAGCTTCTTCAGCTCTGACTGGATGGCGGGGAACGGAAGGATTGATGCTCCCTTGCAGACACAGCTGGTCATTTGCATCCTTTTGAGAGAGTCGTTGAGGCCACTTGGAGGTTTCTCTGTGTCTTCAGAGTCACCTGAGCGGCATAAATGGTTCCTGTAGTCTGCAATTTTTCTCTCCGAAAATCTGTTCCTACTCCCACACCATTCAAAGGGTGCTCATCCCAAATTGTGTAGCTGAAACTCCAGAGGAAAAAAAAATGCAGATTACAGGAACCATATGCACCACCCTGACGACACAGATAAACCTCCAAGTGGCCTCAACGACTCTTCTAAAAAGGATGCAAATGACCAGCTGTGTCTGCAAGGGAGCATCAATCCTTCCGTTCCCCACCATCCATTCAGAGCTGAAAAAGCTTCTTGGAGGAGAAGTGAAAGGCCTTCAAAAGAAAAACCAGAAAGCCCAGTTGCCTCTTGGAAAAAGCCCGTTTGGGACACTAAATGAACGGTTACAAATCAAGGACTACCTGCTACACGGCTGGGGAGTTCTTGTTAAAGGTGGCCTGGATACATTTTAAATCAGAATACATAAATATCGCTTCAAGGAGGCCTGCCCTGCGTTCTCACTCCACCCTGTATCTCTCAAGAGCCAGGATGCCAGCGCAGAAATCCTAGCCAGCACAATCTACATATCTACCACCTCACCAACTGGCCACCAAAATCTGGCCAGACTCCCTTGGGGCGCAAGGGCTCAGGAGGATGTCAAAGCTCCCCTTTCCTTCTCCAATGACCACCATCCAGCTGGGGTTTAACACACTGATCTCACACCAAGCCACTCTTAGTCCAACCGGGATAAAACTAGGATTCCTTACAGCCAGAACGGCTTAACCTGCAATTAAAGCAAGCTACAACAATTAAACCTGACCAAGCTAAACTGCAGAGCTACCACAGGAATTCCACGCCGAGCAATCCTACAGTTCCAATTTTAAAAATGTAATCGTACTTGGTTGCCGCCTCATCAGCTCACCGGAAAACATTTTGGGAAAGTTCTTGATAAAAATCTTCCACATGAGCAAAGAGGGGGAAAATGAAATTAGGGATTTCTAGTCACAGCAGACAAGGGGTGGGACTAGCACTCTGCGTAGCTCCTGGAGCTTTTCGTGGACTAATAAAAGCAAACAAATAAGTTTTACGTGCAAGCAGAAGACATTTGCACAATCTGTGCAAGTTGCAAAACTGAGTTTTGCTACCAGAAAAACCCAAACCAATCAATGCTGCTGCATAATTTCCTAAAACACCACATGCATAACAATGAGTATATGAAATACCAATTACCTGAATTCTGGGGGAACGGTGGGGCATGTTTCTAACACTATTTTGCCAATATTGAGAGCTTCCAGAAACAATCAGGCAGATACAGTAGAACTTCTGGTCATGAACGCTTCTGACCACACAAACAAATCGGGTTCTGACCAAAAAAATTCACAATTTTTTTTTCAATCTGGTCACAAACACATACTCGGATGGCAATCGAACAGGACCCCTGACCCAGGAATTCCCGAAGAGGAAACATTAGAAGAGGAAATCGCCTAAGTTATGGAACAAATTATTGTTGCGACCATTTGTATGGTTAAATCAAACGGAGACACCCAATTTCTATATTCTCCTCCAGGTTCACGAATCCATGAGAAACGCAATCAAACTTGCATCCAGGGGGTCCTTGGCCGTCTCTGAGCTTGGTGGGTTTCTTGCAGGCGTTTCATTACCCAAGTAGGTGAAGACGTCAGTGCTAGAAGGGGACAAGGTGGGGGAGTGGAAGAGAAGGAGGTGGTGGAGTGGAAGAGGAGGAAGAGGAAGAAAACTGTGAGGTCCTCGATGCTCTCCAAGCTTGATAGTTGCATACGTTTCATTACACAAGCTAGCACTGATAACGTGACCTAGATGGGTCATGAAACGTCTGCAAGAAAACCACCAGCCTGAGAGAGCACCAAAGACCCTACAGTCCTCCCCCTCCTCCTCCTCCTCCTCCTCCTCCTCCTCCTCCTCCCCCTCCTCCTCCTCCCTGCAAATCCCACTCCTTCTAGCGCTGATGATGTTACCTCGTCGGGTCATGAAACAATCTGCAAGAAAACCACCAAGCACAGAGGGCACCAAGGACCCTACAGCTCCAGTCTTCCTCCTCCTCTCCATGAACCCTACTCCCTTCCAGTATTGTCGGCGTTCCCTAGTTGGGCAGTTGCATTCATTATATCCATGAGGCCACTGCAGAGATGAAGGCCCCAGACCACCCTTGCCCTCCCCCCTCCCCCAGTCACTGCAGGGGACACACCCCCAAGCCCAGGATGGCTGGTGCCGCAGTCAGGCCTGAGAAACGGCTGGCAAACCGAGAAGCTCCCCACCGGATCTCCCGTTTGGATCCTTAGCCCCGAGCCGAGCTCACTGGACTGGATCTGCCACAGGAGCTCCGGGGCCAGAGAGCAACCATGGGGACCAAGAAAACCCCCCCTCCCCTCCAGAAGGAGTCCTACCTCTGGGCTCTCCCTCGGTTCCTCCTTCTCCTTCGGAAGCCGAGGGACCGAAGCCCAGGAGCCCTTCCGCTTCAGTGCCACCCTGGATTTAG